TACGCTTTACTGTCGAAAACACAGTCACAGACCATTGGTAGTTATGATGTAAGTGTAATTTTTTTGTAAACATTTTCTTCCAAATCTCAACGTTGTTACAGTGTAACTTATATTGTGGGATTTGCGTTTACCCTGCCATTTACGTCACAAAATGTATTCATGCATAAATTAGCATACGCGGAATTTTCCCAAGATGGCGGATGACTGTTAAAATTTGTTAAACATTTTCGCAAATTATCTGAACAACTAAATGCAATGGACAAACAAAAATATGAAATTAAGTATTCCATTAGTAAGCTTAATAAATACAGACAATAAAAAAATTTGTTGCCATTGACCTTTAAGTATTTTCGGAACCAGAGAAATAACTTTGTAGATTTGCTATGGCATCGCGAGGCAAATCGTCTTTCTATAGCTTTCTTCATGTGGTCGAAGAAGAACAATGTGGATGTGGAGTGATAGATAAGTGGTATACCAGTGGATTACGCATGCAGGGTACGAAGGGATCGATCGATAACGCTCGGAGGCCTGGTCGCAGATCAATGATGCGTCCGAATATCAGTGACGAGTGCGACTGTCTACCCAAAAACTGCTGAAGGGTCAATTTCTCTTGCCCTCCCCAGGATAGTATGCGATCGCCGAAAGTGTGAGCCGAGTGTCGCAGGCGCATGTTAGCTACAATCGCGTGCAAAAATAATGAGACTTTTCACATTTTCGGCCATTTTAAAGTACGTCGGCCTCCTCCCTGCCCCCATGATCAATGTTGGAAAAAGTGGGTTGGATTTTCTCTTTTCACAACATTGAATTGGGGGTGAGGGGCACTTATGCGGTTGTCTCAATAATTTTTGCTCCTGATTGTCTCTATTTGTACCTTTGAATAAAACGCAATTCGTTCATGTTGATTCAACTTAGTGCTCCAGGGAAGACGCTGACTTGGATTTCTTGCTTAGTGAACCTTTTGCTATATAATATTTTTTCTCGGCGGTTTTCTATAACTGAGTATTTCATGTAAAAAGAATATAGGGATCTTGAGAACTATAAGCAATTATTGGATGAGGCTGAGCATGATATCAAGAATTATTCAGACCGAGGTCAATGTTATCTGCCGAAGCGAAGCTGAGGCGGATAACATAGACCGAGGTCTGAATAATTCTTGATATCATGCGAAAGCCGAATCCAATAATTGTTTTATTATACATTTAAAGACATGAGAAACGTATAAAACGATTCCTGTTCATGAGGTAGGAAAAGTACAATTTGAATATCAAACACCTTGCACAAAGTCAAAGGTCAGCTAAATATTCTATTTCTACTTCTATTTACCCCTTTGTGGCTTTTTTCGTGCTTTCACTATCCTTATCTGCCAATAATTTGGAGAGTTCACTTTCATTCAGCGAAGCAAATCTGCTGTAGGCCATTGTTTGTTTGTTTTTTTTCGCGCGCTTATAGGTTCAAGCTTTTGGCCGCGCAAGGGTTTGGGCACGAGAGAGTCCAATAATTTTTTTTTTGGATGCAAGTTCGATCCAAAAAAACAATTATTGGACGCTGATGACGTCATCGGCGGAAAATACGTAATAAATGCCGAATACTGAAAATTAGCCGGTGCTTTCTGACCAATTAGAAACGAGAATACATATTAAATGTATAATAATAGTTATTGTTTGTTAGGAAAGGACGATTAATTGATGAATATATACATTGGAAGAAGAGTATAAAATAATTAATAAAATTCAGACTATTTTTTCCCATGGCTGACAATCATGAGTATATATTTTTTTCTCAAACAGAATATTTTCTTTAAGTTCAAGTATTTTATAGCAGACAACGCATCGCTCTGACCTACTTGTATACAATTTTGGAAAAATGTCAATGATTTTCCTACTTTTAGCTGAAGTTGGTACGTAAGATTGACATACTCACTAGATTTTAAACCCAATTCAAGTAGTTTATTTATGTTGATATATGGACTTACCGATCGTAAACTTGCACTAGAATTTATTGCAAACTTCCATCTCCTATGATTTTGGGATTATGTGAGATGAGCTCAAGCAAATTTGGTCGCACATGCGCAAAATATCAATCTATTTTTACGTACTGATTATAGACACGTTACACACACGTTACACCAAACGTTACATAATAATCTGTAGTAAAACATAGAGATACGACACGTTACACACGTTACACCAATTGTTATTAAATATATATATATATATATATATATATATATATATATATATATATATATATATATATATATATATATATATATATATATATATATATATATATATATATATATATATATATATATATTACAATCTGCAGACATGCATGTTTCGGCGTTCAACGCCTCGTCAGTGCAGCTTGGTACACGTCTAGATACGCGAGACACTCGTATTTATACCCCATGAACTTGCTCTCACCAAGGCATGTGGTACAACACGGTGACTCAACGCATCCAGACATGCGCAGAGCGTATATATATATATATATATATATATATATATATATATATATATATATATTTATACATATATATTTATACATATATTTATTTATTTATTTATTTTCAAAAACAATTGGTGTAACGTGTCATATTTCTATATATTTTACTATAGATTATTATGTAAAGTAGGTGCATTGTAACGTGTAATGTAACGTGAGTGTAACGTGTCAGCGTTTGCTTAATGAAGCCAAGTGCATAAAATTTACATGAACTAATCACTTTAGATTAGTTGGTGAACATCCCACAAGCACAACAGCACATACTGCAGTATAAATGACAAAGTTTTCTCATTTTTGTCATATGGCTATTATTATTATTATAATTCATTTATATAGCGCCATTTCCCATAGCTCAATAGCGCTTAACATTAAGTGTTAAAAATATATACTAAGTGTTAGAACATAGTACATGCATTGACTACTAAAATTACTATACTATAAAATTACTAAAAAAATAATTATATGCTCTTCTCGTTAAGAATATAAAATTACTTTATGTTATGTATGTTGATAATATTAAAACAACAACTATATAGAATACTATAAAATTGCTAATAATCTTGTTAAAATAATAACTTAGTCATAATATTGTTTAAAAAGATGTGTCTTTAATCTGGTTTTAAAAATAGGCAAGGTCTCACTCTTTCTAATATGCTCTAGACTGGCAGTTCGTTCCACAGTTTACGGTGCAGCATATGAGAACGATCGTTCACCATAGTTCACTGGTTTTACTGAGGGTATGGTAAGCAATCCTTTGGATGAGGAGCGTAAATTTGCTGATGGTGTGTAAGGTTTTAGCATGTTATTAATGTAATTCAGAGCCATTCAGAGATTTATACGTAATAAGAACAATTTTATAGATGATGCGTTGACTGATGGGGAGCAAATGTAATTGTTTCATTAATGGAGTAATATGATCGTATTTTTTGCTTCCTGTCACCAGTCGAGCAGCACAGTTTTGCACATTCTGTAACCGATCAATAAGAAATTTAGGCAATCCGTATAATAAAGAATTACAATTATCCAGTTTCGATGTAATAAATGCATGAACTAAAGTTTGGATATCTGACGTTGATAAGTACTCTTTTCTTCTTGCTATTTTTCTCAAATGTAAAAAAACAGTTCTTGCAAATACTGGTAACATGTTTATCTATAGACATGTGGTGGTCGAAAGTTACACCAATGTTTCGTGCTGAAGTACTTGGTTGAATTCTTGAATTAGATACTTCTATATATTCTACAGCAGGGCATGAACGATTTCGTGCATTGATTACTAGTAGTTCAGTATTGTCCCCATTCAATTTCAATTTATTTTTGACCATCCACAAATCAATCTCTTTCACACACATTTCAATTTGTGCCAGGGCTCCCAATTTTCCCACAATGGTTGACTCAAAAGCGAGATATAATTGCGAGTCATCTGCATAAAAGTGAAAATCAAGACCATGACCTCTGATGATATCACCAAGGGGTGAAGTGTAGAGTAAATATAGTATAGGGCCGAGAACTGATCCTTGTGGGACTCCACAGCGCAAGTCTTTAGAGATAGATTTAACACCGTCAATCACTACACATTGCTTCTATTCTGAAGATAGGACTGAAACCATTTCAACACTTGCCCATCTATCCCAAATATTTTGAACATTCGTTGTAGTAAAAGTTCGTGATCAACAGTATCGAATGCTGCTGACATATCTAGTAATAGCAACACCACACACTTACGATTATTAATGGCTACAAGAATATCGTTTTGTACTTTTAATAGGGTTGTTTCTGCACTATGAAAACGTTTATATGCCGACTGGAAGGGTTCTTCTAAGTTGTTATTAGCCAAGTGTTCCAGAAGCTGACCGGCAGCAACCTTCTCAATTACTTTAGACAGGAATTTTAAATTTGAAATAGGTCGGAAATTTGTGTATTCTTCGTACTCCAGCGAATCTTTCTTTAGTTTTGGTTTCAACACGGCTTCTTTTAGTTTCTCAGGCATACAACCTGACTGAAGTGACTCATTACTAATCTTAGTAATTATAGGTAAGAGAGTCTTCTGACAACCTTGAAAGATTTTTGCAGGAACTGGATCAAGTTCACAAGATTTTTTACCAACTTTATCAATAACATTTTCAATCTCATGTTCCGTGACTTCTTGAAAGTTAATGAATTTAACGCATTGTGCATATTGTTTCTCTTGATTTCGCTGATTACAGTGGGAAGAATCAATGGCTAGTTCTTTCCATATAATAGCAATCTTATTACTGAAGAAATCTGCAAATTTATTCACGAGTTCATTCGTTGATGACGCAGTTGGATAGCGCTTTTCTGGCTTTCGATGGAGTAATTTATCAACCGTACTAAATAACACTTTCTGATTATGTGCATTACTGGAAATAACCGATGAGTAGTATATTGTCTTAGCATTCTTTATCATGGCATTCACTGTCTCACATTGTTTGACATATAACTGTCTGTCAATACATAGTCCAGGGTAGGGTATCCCCTACACCTAGTGTCTGTCCCTGAACAAAATGGCTACTTATTGGTGCAGTTACTCTCTCTTTGTTTCTATTCTTTTTCTTTCCTTTTCCTTCCTTTCTTTCTTTCCTTTTCCTTCTTTTCTTTCTTTCCCCCTTTTATTCCTTCCCTTTTTTCTTTCTGCCAGCATAAAAAAATTTTCTGGGACAAATATTAATGGTCCCGTGGTCCGCTATATTTTCCACCCCTGGTATACATGTATACATGTGTGGAAACACGACGCGCGCGAGTGTTTTCACAGGGAGCCCGAATGGCGAGTGTTTTCACAGAGAGGCCATCCCGGGTCTTATTGAAGTTATGTTTAGAATTACGTGTGAAATATATAGCTCAGTGTTGAAGCCTGCGATTTGCGGGCTGTGTGCGGGATAACGCGCGCGTTGAATACAGCCCGCAAATCGCAGGCTTCAACACTGAGCTATATATTTCATACGTAATTCTAAACATAACTTCAATAAGACCCGGGATGGGCTCCCTGCGGTGTTTTGACACAATTTCGAGTTTTCCCAATTTCCACGAGTGTTGATATAACTATTTATAAAATAGCCTTTTAAAAACACGGGCGCTGATTGGTCAAAAGCTAAAAAAATCCGTGTTTCTATAACTCGATAGAAACATGGGGAATTTTCACGCGGGTTGCGTGGATTGCGCGGGAGTTCAAAAGACAAAACTGACAAACAATATTTAATTTTGAAAAAATTTGAAAAACGTCCCGAAACGCCGAAGAACCGGTACAAAAAGAAGGCAACACTTTGCTAACTTAGAAAGTGAAGACCTAAAGCACAAAGTATATAATAGCACACGTTGTATCTGCTTGACTGTTTACCAAGGTAAGATATTTTAATTTTACTTTGTCTTTTTAAAAAATTATTTCCTCGCGACGTTCTTAACTATGTTTACAGTGCTTTCTTTGCATGCAAGCATGTACGTTGTTCGGTGAATTATATACTTAGTAAAGTAAGCCTGTTAAGTAAATTCCAACAATTGCTTGATTCCTAAAGGTCTCGTTTTTTTTTATACACCCTGTAAGGAATTATTTAGCTATATTGTTTTAATATATTTATCTTTAGATTGTTTTATTGGGTTATCATGACGCCAGATCAATAGATTGTGTGATGGGATGGTTATAACAATATTTTCTAAAGACCGACTTGCAAACTCTGATCACTTGTTTACGGAAAATAAGACATGTTCTCTTACCTGCGTGTTCATTGAATTAATTTCCGAGCATGGTATCAACTTTTCAAGCAACACAAATGACTTCAAACATTATTACATAAATCAAATTTTCAGCCCCGTCGAACGAAAAAATGCGCTTGTCCTTCCTGAAAAAACGGACTAAGGTACAATTTTAAAAATGATAAAAAGTTCAAATTGAACAAAATGCTAAAGATATCTCAAACCAAAGACTAAGCTGTCTATATACAGCAGAGCAGTACCGACCGTTTAGTAGCCAATCAAAGGGCTTCATTTTCATGACTAAACTGCCACTAGCATGGCATCTATCAGTAGCTGTGAAAATACCGGAAATAGTATGCGATGATAAGTATTCAACGAACTCATTCAATATACACATGCATGACGCAGTTGGCCAAGTTGCAATTTATTATCATGACGCACAACTAACAAAATATATTACAAAGAAAAAATAAGCATGCATTACATATATAGCAATTATTACTAGTGCACGGATCTGTAGCATAACAATAGTGAGCTTAAGCAAGTGACGTTTTTGACAACACGGACGGCATGAGCAACGTCAGAAGACTGGGTCAAAGGCTGTGATTGGTGAAAAACGTCAACTTTACTTCCGGTCGACGTCCGTGTTGTCAAAAACGTCACTTGCTTAAACTCACTAATGCATGCATGCACGCACGCACGTACACACGCACAAAGCAAGTTCTACCGGTGGCGACAACCGTAAAACTCGAGTCGCATTGTAGGATAATTGCTCCAAGATTCTGGCAACACACGCAGGTACCGAGCACGAATACGAGGTGTGAATGAGTGGGTAACGATGGAACCTCGATCGGTGTTTGCTTGAAAAACCTAAATTAAAAAGTCAGATGATAGGTTTCAATAATTCATTCCACTCCCATGAGCTTCCTAGAACAGGCCTAAGCTGACAATTTTTTGTACGCTTAAATTAAGGCACGTTTATACACTTGCAATTTTTGCTGCGATTTCTAGTACGATTCTCCTCTTCTAATACTTGTGAACGAGTGTATGAGTTATGAATGTCCAAATGAGGGTACACATACTCAGAACATTAGTAACTCATCTACTCGCTCACCTCCATCCGAACAGGAAAATTGCATTAGAAATCGCAGCAAAAATTACATGTGTAAACGGGCCTTTATATTAATTTCTGAATCCGCGTTTTGTAAAATCCCCAATACAAGATTGATGCGCTGATTTACCTTTACATTCCCTGATTCTTCGTAAGGTGTCCATGAATTGGATTCAGTGCTGTATGAAACCGAGTGCGACTTTGTCCATTCACTGGGGCTATAGCATGTTCCCTGGGTTGCTATTTTTGTTACTGTGGCAAGTTGTCCCAGATCAACCTGAAGCCATGAGCCGATACGCCCTGCCGCAGTAGGTGTCCAAGAGCAGCTAGAACCTTCCCTTGTCAGTCTTGCATAGCTAGGTGTGTATTTGTTTGAATGAGTAGACGACGCCGTGATTGAATCATCAGGTATTTTACCATTTGCCATTCCTAATGTTTTGGGATCTGTACATGAAGCTTGAATAAAATAGATAATTTGCTATTAGACTACAGAAATATGTTTTTTTTCAGTACGCTTGGCAGGTAAACGAGAAAAGGACTCCACAAAACGTTCGAGCAATTTAACTTAAGAATCACAGCAGAGGCAAATTTACGTGTAGTAAACTTTTTAGATGTCACGTTCGACTTTAGCTATGGAATATTCAAACCTTATAGGAAACCCAATGACGATCCATTATACATAAAAAGCCACTCAAACTACCCACCAAGCATCATAAAACAACATACGTACATCTATAAACAAGCGCATCTCACTTATAAACTAAATTCAAATCAATGGAGGAATATTCGCAACAAGTATAATTTCATGCTTTAGCAATATAAACGATATAAAGACAGGCACAGTTTTATTCCGTTTGACATTGTGGATTTTACCCGTCAATTTTCGAAAAACTTTTAAATGAAGCATTGGCCTGGGCTTCTGATTTGACTACTATCACCGAAAACGATATTTCAATAAAAAAAACTTGAAAGAAAATCTCTACTTTTCGGCAATGCATGGAAAATTATGGACAAAAAAAGACCGAAGCAACCATACCTAATTTTAGTGTGCAGTGATAACCAATTTGTGCAGGGATAAAAGTAAAATGTGCAGTGATAATATGTAAAATGTGCAGTGATAAAATTTGCTTTGATAACTGGTTGTTAATTAACACAAGAAAATGAGACAATGAGCAGAAAAACTGAACTATGAGAATGATTTAATTGAAATTGAAATGGTGACTGCCAAATTATCGAACGTCCGCACTAATAACATACTTATGGTTTATCAGATGAACAAAGTCTCTCACCAAACATCTCTTTATGAGTTTGTAATTACTGTATAATTTTCAAAATTCTATAGAATGTCTCCGCGCATTGCAGGAGATGCCCTTTTATAGTGCCTAGATTACAAAATTGTCTGTGGGTGCATGCCCCTGGAACTCCTCTAGAGGTTTGTCACGCCTAAGCCCGTAAGCCGCCTTTCATTTGCCAAGACGAAAATATATATTTTCTTCAGTCATGTTATTATGAAACTAAGCTGTCATAGATAGTCGTAACTGCAGGTGCTGTCAAGGCCGCCCAGAGGGGTGCAATTTGCTCTGGGTCCCCAGTTGAAGGGGGGCTCAAATAAAGAATTGCAGTGAAATATACATAGATAGGCTATAATTGTCAACTAGGCTTCCGGAATGCAGGATTTGGTCATTTCTGGGACCTCAGATTTCAAAATTTTTCAGGTGTGTTCAGGAATTTTCAGGGCGTGCTTCTGCTCGGCTAAACTTTGTAAAAAAATGTGCAGTGATAAAAAATTCTTAAAATTAGGTATGGAAGCAACAGTTTATTTGACGTTACTATGGGTAGTTTCGACGGCGCTGAAATTTGTGAGCTAGTAGGCCTTTCCATTTTAAATCACTTAGGTAAGAGGTTTGGCAAGGAAAACATCGGCCTTTATAAATATGATGGTTTGGCTATTATAAAAAGTAAATCCGCCCGTTTTCTATACAAATCTAGAAAAGAGTTACACAAAATTTTTGAGCAATTTGACCTGAAAATCACCGCCGAAGTAAATTTGAACGTTGTAAATTTGTTAGATGTTACTTTCGACCTGAACAACACAAAACACAAACCATACAGGAAACCCAATGACGATCCATTGTACATCAACAGACATTCAAACCATCCACCAAGCATTATGCTATTTACCAGAACGTACTTAGACATAGTAACTTTCATCACGAATTTACGATGCACCACAACGGACACGTAGGGATAGGCAACGCAACATAATTTGGTTCAACCCACCATGCATTTAATAAGAGTGTTAATACGAACATAGGACGGGAATTCTTTTTCAAAATTTCAAAATCACCCCCCCCCCCTCAAAAGTTAAATAGTCGGCCCCTTAAATATAGTTTGCCGTAGTATCTAAAAAGGTTTTATACTAAAGTTATGTAAAGTATATATCATTCTGTCATAAGTTATTACTGTTTGCGGTTTTGGAAAACAACGAGAGCAGGGCGAGACATTTGTTTTGAAAGGACAGATGGCCCAAGCTAAAAGCACGTTTCATCTTACTGTCGAGTTAAACACATTATAAGTTGAGGCCAAAAACCAGACTAACCCTGTACTTGTTTAAAAAAAAAATTCAGATCTAAACGGTTTTCCTTAGCGGTCTAGCAAAGGTCATCTCTTATATTGATTCAGTGTTTCTGCAGGAGGAAACCTAAACTAACTTGATTTATATTGCATGGATAGCTCTATCCGTTTTAAACGGCGTCCGTGTTGTATATGACAAGCACTCCCCTGCATGCGGCTCGCATGCCTATCATCTTTTATACCGTATATAACACTGCCGTTCATGCGGTATTTCTTATATACAAACTTCCATGAGCTTGCATGTAGTTATCAAATATTTTCAAACACATCTAAGCACAGAGGCATATTATCTCTTCTTCATGTTGTCACATTACGATAATGAAATGTATATATATAGTACTTATATACGTCATTTATACACACTTTAGTAATTTTAATTTAGATGTCATTCTTAAACGCAACGGCGTTATTTTTACATTCAATTCTTCAGAAGTCGCCCGATGATGGAATCTTATTATTTTATCAACCTCATATTCATATTTGCTGTGAACATATTCTTCTTTTTCTCAGGAATATGTTTAAACTCCTTGGTCGTACTCAGTTTCTGGAGATCCGTACAGTTTCGGAAGAAATTATGTTATTTCATGATAATGATCTTGTCCTGTTCCGATTTGCTTGCGGTTTTAACAAATAGTCCATTGATGGCCCTTATCACGATGTCATGCCTGACGGGAAAGGTCGATGTAAATTCTAGATGGGCTCATATTTCCTTAAGATTGACAAGTATTTTCCTTGGTTTTTCATTATTCGCTCTTTTGGTGATGAATTTCGAACGATATTTGGCGATATCTTATCCTACAGTATCTTTCATCGAACATCGGTAACGAAGGGAAGACTTTTAACTCTTCTTGCAATACTGAACATCGTCAAAGTAATTTTGAATGTGATGTCTGTAAACGACTTTGTTATTTCCTTCCAAGTACATTCTAATTATTTGTCAGTTCTAATTATTTGTATTCTTCTCATTCCTCCGATGTTATTTATCAACTACAAACTGTTTCTAGTCGTCAGGAAAAGTCGTAAAAACAAAAGAATATCGCCCGATATGAAAAAGACGTTTTCTTTGAAAAATATATCGAGTTGTTTGCTGGTAGTCACTTGTGTTATGGTGTTATCCATCCCATTGCTCGTCAATACTGGATTAACAACATACTAGTCAAAATCAACACATACTTTGGATAATGCAAACCTCGCACTGACCTGGGGAGTAACTATAATTTCGATGAATGGCACATTTAACTGTTTAATCTTTTACTGGAAAAACAAGGTGTTACACGTACCGAAGGGTGGAAAGATCTGAAAAGCATGAAAATATGTCGACGAGTTGAATCCTAGCTGCACTAATAACCCTTCTTCAAAAAACGAAGGAAACTCACAAACAATATCTTGGTCATAGTAAATGTGAACCCAACGAACTATATATTGTTTTATATATTAATGCGCATATCATCATCACCAGAAGCAAGACAGTAGCTGTAACTAGGGTATATAAGGCACTGTTAGTATAGGTAATAGCATGGTTTCGAGTGCAATTTGGATATAACATGCACGAGTGAGTTTTCCAAAGACCTCAAAATAGCACGAGTCCGAAGGACGAGTGCTATTTGAGGTCTTGGAAAAACTCACGAGTGCATGTTTATCCAAATTTCACGAGAAACCATGTTTACTTATTAATAATTTACATAAAAATGTTCGAGACAATTGTAGTTTTAACATACGCGTTTATAGCGAACATTCCACTGGCAAAGTTTTCCTGGCCAAATTTTATCACATTATACAACGCTAACAGCTTGAAAATTCCACTCAACTATGTAATTTTTGTTAGTCTTGTTTAAGGTAAATGCTTTTCCATTTAACAATAAAGATAAAAGCCATATTTTTCACGCGAAAGCAACTTTTACTTCACTGTAGCGCGGCGCCATGTTTATTTTGTTTTCAAGCAATCTGTGACCGTTACTTCTTTTAAACTAAATTGCTTTAAACTGATTGGTTGATTTAATCATCACAATGTTTTTCCACCAATCAGATCAGTTTGTTACAGATTTTTGCACTGTGATTACAGAAAATTGCACTGTGATTACAAAAAATTGCACTGTGATTACAAAAAATTGCACTGTGATTACAGAAAATTGCACTGTGATTACAGAAAATTGCACTGTGATTACAGAAAATTGCACTGCTGTTTGGGATTAACTGCACTGAAATCAACCAATCACAGTCGAGTAATATCTTTATGTATATTATTATGT